GCTGGCACTGCGCGGCTGGGCCCTGCAGCAGACGTGGGCACACAGGGGTGCCAGAGGACAAGGTAAGTGCTTTGTCTCCACTTCATCCCCCATAGCCCCTCTGGTCCCTCATGGCATCTCCTGCTTGGCCCCCCACCCTGCTGCTCCCGGACTCCCCATCCCTCCTCGGTGCTCTCCCGCAGCAATTTCCTTCCGGGCAGGAGCTGGCAGGGGCCTGATTTTTTCTTCCCGCAGTTCCTGCTCGGAGGCAGGAGGCAGAGCAGGCTGGGTGGCCCTGAGCCCTAACGACACTGACAGCTGCTCTCCGTGCCCAGGTGCCCTCTGGAGCTGCCACCATGGAGTTAGGGAACATCTCGCAGCCGGTGTACGGCCCCGGCCCCGAAGCTCCAGGGAGCAGCACGCTGGGCCTCGTGGGGATGGTGCGCGGCTGCCTGCGGCTGGTGCAGCCCAACGCCCTGCCCGTAGGTTAGTGCACAGCGGTGAGGGGCTGGCGATGGGGTGGGGGGGCTGCTCGGAGCTGCAGATCCCAGTTGCGTCTGAGTCCTCTTGCACTGGTGACTATCCATTCAGGATTTAAATGCTGGGATACTGGGTTAGGAGGGGTATGGGGCCGCGGGAGGGGAACGGAGTGGGGTCCCTGAGGACTGCCAGCTGGGTCCTGTCCATGTCCCCTCACAACTGTGGGACACCCTCAAGTGAGCCCCAGGACAGGCTTTGGTGGCAGTGCCACCTTGCAGAGTCCTGCCCTGTCTTCCCACCAGGTATCTTCATCCCAGGCCCCCACCAAAGGTGCAGAGCAAACCCCGCGCTGCCTGCGAGTTTGCGGGGTCCTTGCCTGGCTTGCAGCCCTCTGTGATTGCAGGTGACGAGGTGTGCTTAGGCACAGCCTGGCTTGGGGCCAAGGGCAGCATGTCCCAGTGCCAGTGCTCCACATGGCAGCCCTGCGGGCACCCCCTGCGCACTGCCTTGCTCATCCTCCCTCCCTCTCTCCTTCCTTCACCTCCGAGGGGATGTGTCGCTGGCACAGCTCTGCCCAGAAGTGGCTGCAGGTTGGCATGGGTGATGCGAGGACCCTGCAGCTGCTCAATGTTCTGGGGGCAAGTGCTGCCCACCTAGGGGGAGTGGTTTGCCACTCTGGCTGCTGGCACTTGTGCTTCCTCCTTCGTTGGGCTCAGCTCTTGCTTGCCAGCAACTTGCAGGCAAACGCATGGCTGGCAAACAATGCAGTGACTTTGTGGCCTTGTTCGTGTCACGCAGATACCAGGGTACAATCGCACATCACCACGTGCCAGCACGGCTTTTAATGAGGCTGTGGGGGCAGGGCGAGCCCTGGAGACGAAAGAGCCAGCGTGGCAGGGGATTTTGCCCCAGTGCCCATCCAAGGCTCAAAGTGCCGGCTGGGCGTCTGTCTGGGGCTGGGCTGCAGGAGGGCAGACCAAGGGCAGCCGAGATGGTTGTCGCAGCATCCTCCCCCGTACCTGGCCCCACTGCCTGCTGGGGTGAGGACCCCCTTGCTCTGTGGACCCCTGAGAGCCTGGGGGCTGGAGTGCTTTTCCTGGGTGCAAAAGGGCTGTGGGACATGATGGCTGGGGAGGGACAGTGGGAAGAGAGAAATATGCCATGCGCTCACAGCCACTCTGAGCCACAGTGCTGGAGGTGATGCCCAGTGCTGGGAGCCCACGTCTGGGGTGAGGAGGTTGTGGGGCTCTTCTGGAGAGCACCCCATGGCCCATCACCTGTTCACAGCCCTCTCTGCTCCTTGTCCCCCAGAACTGATTGCAGATTTTGGGCAGCCCCAGAATGACGAGGCCTTCAGAGAGCAAATCCAGGAGGTGAGCGGGCAGCCAGGGCAGGGAGTGGGCAGCCCCAGATCACCATGGGCTGGGGAATGCTGGTGGGGACTGCTCTGAGGCTGAGCCTTGGGTGCTGGACAGCATCAAGGGGAGTTGTCCAACCACCTGCCCTGTGGGGATCTGGACAGGACCTTCAGAGCTGAGGAGTCTTCAGGTGCACCAGTGTTATGCTGCCTCTCATTCTTCCTCTCTCAGCTGCTGCTCTATGAACTGGGTTTCCTGGTCTGCATGGTTGTTGGGCTCCTCTTCATCATCCTTGTGCCCCTGG